TTGTGCATCTCAACTGTTCAGATCTGATTTGTGTGTCCCTTGCTGCTCTTTTCTTTTCTGGAATGACTGCATTAAGGCAATGAAGTTGCGATGGTAGGTATTAGCCAAAAAAAAAAAAAAATGCAACGTGGAGCGACTTGCAATACAGATGTTGTCTTATTTACAACATATTTAGCCACCATGCTGAACTACAGGATCATCTGAGGCAACAAAAATTACCAAAATTCAGTATGTCTCCATTATATTGTATATTGTAAATTTCTGCCAGATTGGCACTTTGCCAGAACACAATCTTGTTTCTGCATTGACTTTCAGAATGTTTCCTATAATAATATTGCACTGTAAAAAAATATTGTTGGTTTAACTTAAAAAAGTAAGTAACCTGGTTGCCTTAAATTTTTAAGTTGATTGAACTGGAAAAAGTGAGTTAATACAATGAAGGAGATTAATTTAATAATCAGAAACTCAAAATAATAAGTTATCTCAACTAAATAAATTATTTAAGTTGATTTGACAAAAGAAAAAATGTTGTGATTTTTTTTACAGTGTGGATATGTTTACATTTTACTTGGTGAGAGAAAGTGGTATAAACCATGTGAAATCCAAATATTCTCATCCTTTAGCGTCATATAGAACGCTATATGTCAAGACGGCGCTATACTATGCACATTGCACCCATTATCGTTAATATAGCACGCGCTGTGATGGTTAGGTTTAGGTGTGGGGTAGGGTAGTCTAATATTACGCTAAAGGATTTATGACGCCTTGGGTTCGCGTGAATATTAACGATAAAGGGTGCCATGTGCGTAGTATAGCGCCGTTTTGTCACATAGCGTTCTATGTGACGCTAAAGGATGAGAACGGGCTGGATTTCCAGACATGCGATTTAAATAGGATTTCAAACCACATTTTGTGGTTTCTTGTGAAAAATCACATTTCTTGTGATATTTATTTTGCCATTCATACTTGCTAAATATTGTAAGACTGGAGAAACTGGAAGAACTGGAAGAGAGGGCTACTCTCTGAGAAAACAAAGGATATTAACATTTGAACTCTCTCTTGTGAAGTTAGCATCATCATTCGAGACGCTCAGAATCTTCCTAATCTACATCTCTTTCCATCTTCCCCCATCCCTTCTCCCTCATGCTGAGATCACCAAAATTCACCCAAGAATCCATGTGGTTTAATGCGAATAATTATCATACAGTATTAAACGTTTTGTATCATCTGAAATGTCTTAGTGCGACTGCTACAAATTTCTCATTTCCAGAGAAGTAAAACAAAAGGGAATAAAAGTTTTTAAGAGTTTAGAGATAACTTGCATACAAAAGAGGGTTGGTCTTCCAGGCAAATGGCCTCCTGCTCTCAAAAGGTGTAACCTCTGAATGCAGATTTGCATTGTTAGCAATGTTTCCATGTGAAGGTTTCTGTCTATGTAATGAAACGCAACAAAACGCTCGGCTCGATTCTGTAACCCAGATTAGCCCGTGATGTAAAGCGTAAGCAAAACCCTCGATCACGGTTCGCATCTTTTCTCTTTATTCCAGAGTATTTGATGTTTTGTATCTATTATCTTTGAACTGATTATGAAATTGCCATGATACATTTACCTGAACACCATTATTTTCAGTAAAGAGTTAAAAAGAATAGTCAAACATTCACTCACATTTGATGTACAGGTACAGTATCATTAAAACCTTTTCATTTATGGAGTCAGATGAAATAAATAACAAGTTAATAAATGAATGTATTTCATTTAATCGAATTTCTTTGCCATGCGGAGCGACAGTAACACGCAGAAACCTACACCCGCTGATCGAATGCCGCCATTGGATCGATCGAGTCAGGCTTACAACATGATCGGATTCCAATCAGATAAGCACAAAAACTCGATTTGGAGTGAGTCTGAACATAGCCTAAATGTACCTTTTGGACTCTCAAAGTGATTTCACATGTTCACTTGCGTTATATTGACCTAAAGTGCTCATATTTCCTTGAACAATTCTTCATTGCTACGTTTACATGCAGCCAATAACTCGTTCAAAACCGGGATATTAGCAATAACCCGGTCTCGAAAGGCCATGTAAACACCAGCAAAAACCCGAATATGCTCATATCCCGGATTTTAAAAAACCGGGATATTATACCTGGGGTACCCCTTTTCTAACCTGAATTTTTTGTCATGTAAACTCATATCGGCATATCCCCATAGTGATTTGTGTTCTGCGCATGTTCTATTCGCAAGGAATCTTGGTCTTTTGAGTAGGCGCAAAGCCGCGAGCAGTATACCGAAAGTAAACATGGCGAGACACAGCACACAGCATACTTTTGGAGCGAGGTCAGTAACGTTACCGGCATCAAAGCGCAAACAAAGGCGATCGCTATCTGCCCCAAACTATTCATTATCCGTGTGCTGCTGTTGTTGTCTTTGGATACAGGAAGAAGAATCGGAAATGACGCATATTGTGTCTTAAGGTTGTCCATACGTTTAGATACTAACCGCGCGTCGCCGTTTACATCGGGATATTGCGATTCAAATGTATGCAGGAGAAACTCTCTCTGCTCACGCACGTAAACGGGTTATTCCTAATGTTTCAGAAACCCGAATAGTGACCTTAACCTGACCATAACCCAAAAATTGGCTGCATGTAAACGTAGTCATTGTGTTTTAATGAAGAAGGTAAGTCACTAACTTTTGGGTGAAATATTCCTTAAATGAAGTTGTCCTGACACACAAATTGTAATACACTAAATGCAAGTTTTGAATTCAATTAAGATTGTTATGCATTATTTCCTTGCTTTATACAAACTGCTATTCTGCTACACTGGGTCTCTGAGGGCTAAACACATATTTGAAGAGGGAATGTATTATATTTAGTCTTATAGCAGCTTTGACAATGGAGCAGTTTACAATTTATCATCATGCTACTCTTTCTTGTCAAGCTTATTAAAATAAAATATAGCGAGTAAGCTTATGCTTTAAAGCGAATCACTGGCGGCAGGGTTTTTACATTTATAACAAAGCTTGCTGATAAAATCTGCACTTTGATGTAATGCGAGTCTGTTGAGCCCTTACAAAAACAGAACTGATGTTTAATAATTTTGAGAGAAAAAAAAAAAAGAAAAAAAAGGAAAAGCTTTCGCATAGCATCAAGCTGACCCCAATTTTTTCCTCATTCTTTTCCATGCGGAAACGTGACAGGCACTTTGAATGTGCTCCTGTATCAGTCACTGATTAGGGGCTGAAAGTCTGGGTACTTGGACACTGTGGAGAATTAATCAGTCAAGTTGTTGAACGTAGAGGATGTCTGCTGGCGTCCTGTGGGGAATTGAGTTGACCACCTTTGGGTCAGATGGAAACTGTCATTTAATGTCACGCTGCTCTGTAACATTACGGATGCCATCTCCCCTTTCGTAGGTCACGCGACCTCCTTCTCTTTTGGAGCCTTCCCGTAAAGGCCAAAGTATGCAGGAAAGTAAGAGAGAGAGAGAGAGAAGAAAAAGAAAGAGTGGAACGAATACACGAGCGATGAGAGGGAAGGTTAATAGAGAAATCAAGTTGGGAATATGGAGGAAGCGACAGAATGCATGAGGAGCTTTACCATATTTTTCTTATTTTGAATTTCTGTAGAATAATTGCTCTGGGGCATTAGAGCTGGCTTCTCTCTTTTCTTTGTCATATTCATACTTCTATAATTAACCAAGACTGATTTTGTAATACAATTGTTAATTGTGCTGCCAGTGAAGCCACTTTAAATTAAAATGGGGGAAAAATGATCTAGGAGTTGGTGGAGTGGGAACACTAGTTCAATAAGAGGAAAATAACAGTGGAAGAGTATGAACAGTCGCAATTGAGAAAAAGAGCTGCAGTGTAGTTCACAAAAGGGACTGATTTACATTTTAAAAAGAATTAACAGATTAAACAAAAACGCTGATTATGAACCCTTTGAAAATACCAAGATTTGGGATATTTAATGTGAGCTGTCATAATAACTGATTTATTTATATTTTTTTAATCTGTGCTTTAATCCTGGAATAAATCATTTTAGAATTTATATATGTAAAATTACTTAATAAATGACAATGAAAAAAAAATGGGACAAAAAGTCAGATCAGATTAAAATTTAAGGTTCAGAGCACAGATTTTTTGAGTGAAAAATATATAGCAAATTGATATACAAAAAAATGAAATTAAAATAAATGAAAATGAAAAATCGGGAAATTAACCATTTCAACTGATTTTAATTAATAACATGTAAAAATACATACTATATGGAAGCTTGTTTCTGCCACTGGATTAAAATTAAAAAGGTATTCAAACAATTCAGATTTTTTTTTTTCTCAGAATTGCATATAAACTGACAATAGCGAATTGTAAAGTCTGAATTGCGAGTTATAGGCTAATATCAGAATTGCAAGATATAAACTTGCAATTGCGATTTATAGTCAGAATTGCATGTTGTAAAGTCGCATTTATTATAAAAAATTTTTTTTACAGAATTGTGAGAGTTTATATCTCACAATTAAGGAAAAAAAGTCAGAATTGTGAGATACAACATTGCAATTATCCTTTAAATTGTTTTATTCCATGGCAGAAACAAGCTTCCATACTAATGATATAGGAAGAAGAAAACATAACTACCCTCCACTAATTCTATTTCACTAATCGCATGTAAATAAATTTGTAGCATTGATCATGTGGCTTTTTTGTACAGGCAGTCAGATGTTCTTGCTTCCATTAAAGCTCAAGTTGTTCTTTGATGATCACACTGGAGAACATGATCATCAGGTTTTACAAACTTGTTGAGTTCAAGCAGCTGCTTGAGTGCTGCTGTCATTAAAGCAGAAGAGAGACAAACCAAATACTAAGACATTCTGAAATTCAGATTAGCAATAAATTATGCTTTCTCACTACATTTTTTAATGCTGATAATATAATGTGTTAAATTATAAAAGGATTCAAAAGAGAAGCATTTTTTTTTTCCATTCCCACTCCTGACCTGTGCTTCGTTCTCCTTCAGTAGCCTGCGGGTTCGAGCCCCTCCCGGGTCATCGGTCAGGTTGAGCATCACCACACTCTTTCTCTCCCAACCGATGAAGGAGCCATCTATCATGCCTTCCACCATGGCCAGGAAATCCTCATAGCCGTGGTGACGTGTGGTAACCACAGAGAACGCCGTCCAATCAAACTCCTCCAGGACTTCAAAAATGACATCCAGCTGCAGGCTAGTGGAGCACAAGAACTGCAAGTAGACGGAGCCGCTCTCCTGTAAGAACAAGAAAGTATAGGAGGACATAGTAAAACTTTCCAACATAATATTTTTCATAAACAGGGGCACTTCTAAAAGGTCTAGGGCATCATAGCCAAATTCTACTTCACTGTAAAAAATGAACTTGTAATTTAGGTGATAATTAAAAATATTGTGTACATTTTATTTTATTGGGAACATTTCACTAATAAATGTTATCATTGTGCAGAAGAGTGGGGCTTATGTTCAAATAAATTGCATATATTGATACTGGAGCAATACATTTGCTATAATGCAACTGCAGTAACAAGTTTGTTTCTGTGCTGAGCAGCATACAGTATTTTAATAATAATATAAACAGCTTATTACTCAAGTTCACACAATTTTGAGCATCAACTTTAAAAAAAACAACATATTTTACTAAAAATGTTAAATTCGTTGTGTCACAGACTAAATAATTTAATGGATTTTACATGCTTTATTCAGGTAGATTCCATGCATGAAATCAAGCCTTAACTACTCAAAAATATCAAGTGTAATAGTTACCATATTTTTTTTAAGTAAATAGCAATAATATTTTTATATTGTTCCCTTCCCAGCCTAAATATCTGTTTGTAGTTCTATATTTAAGCATTTCTCATTCATCAGGTATTTTTCGCTTCCCTCCATTTACTCTCCACTTTTTACTCATTCAGATCAATAGTTATTCTTAATACCCACAGAGCATGACGTAAAGGATTCATTGCTATTCATAAGCCTGTGTTTCAGGTGACATTAGTGTCCTTGGCTGCTTTAAGATTTGAAACAGTCCGTTCGGCTTCAGCTCACCTCACTGTCTTTTTTCTATAATCCGGAAGGTGACCATTCCAATGTACAATCGAGGAGATTTATGGCCCTGACATAAAGCCGTATTTCTGATAGTGAAAAATAGCAACGCTTAGTCTGACACTTGCTAATGCATCATAATCATGATCAAATATATCATAGTGTGGCATGACACCTGTTTTGTGCCTGCTGATGACACTGGCCATTAAATGAGAAGTGTGCTGCCTTTATAATTGTCTATTTTTTAAATGGACTTCTTTCCACTTTTACTACCTAATAATATTGAAAATTATTTATCCCATGTAGTTCACTATATTTATCTCACTCCGTCTTCATCTCACAATGCACCTGACGAGAGGGTAGGAAAAAAAAAATCGCTCATCTTCTTTAGCTGCGCAACATAGAGTGACTCGGCCAATAAACATGAAGCAGCGCCATCTAGGGGAATGGACAATCACAACAATTACTTTGGCCCAGCGCAGTTAAAGTGGTCAGTTTCACTACATTTTTCTCACTCCGTCTTCATCTCACGACGCACTTGACGAGAGGGTAGGAAAAACAAAGAATAAAGATCACTCATCTTCTTTAGCTCAGCCAATAAACAGGAACATCTGGGGAATTTCATGGACAACAGTGACAGGTGGGAAAATTGTCACCAGCATTTCCTCTGGGTAGTCGTAATCAACGTCCTCCTCACTATCATATGATTCCAGCTGTTCTCCCTCTTCAGTCACTGGAGTCTGGGAAGGTCGCATTGTGTCTTTGTTTTTCTTATGCCGATTCGCTTCTGCTTCGATGGATGGAGCCAGGAAGCCACAAGGTAAGAGCAAGTAATGATGCAGTGTCCTTTCAGGGCCAACAGAATCAGTGATGCGCGGGTCAATGTATAAACAACCCGCACCCGACCGACGTTTTCAACTACCCGCCCGCAACTCGGACCGCAAAAAAAGTAAGAAAATATAGTACCCGACCCGCTTCCTGACCGCATTTTTTAAAAGTAGTAAATGCTCATCGTAGCGTCATTGGGCCATAGACGTGTAACAACACAGCATCGCAAGAAGACGTACACATAACAAAGCCAGCACTTTGGTCATCATCTTACATTACTTCGGCAAATGTCTCCCACACTTTTACTCTTTCTATTTGTGTAACGTATTTACGGAGCTTCCAATCCCCAGCCTTCACCTTTTTCTTGCCACCTCCATCTCTCTGCAGACTGTAGTGATCATAGTGTGAACGAATCATTCTTTTGAACCGGTTCTTTTTAATGACCAGTACACTAAATCGAACTGAATCGTTCGAAACAGTTCTCGGCTTGCGTCAGTGCTGATCCACAAGTTACTAAAGTTACTAACTTTCAGACATGCCTGATAGTCCCTCCGAAATAAACCAATATCCCGAAGTATATTTTACTTCAGTAACTAGAACAGAGAACTGAGACATGTTGGTGCCACTGCTGAGAGAAGTGATGAGCACAAGCAGCTGATACTGCGCATATGCGCACTACCGAACGCACAGGTACAGCGGGTCTCGGATCACCAGTACAGAACCGAGAACTGTTTAGATTGAGCTTGTGTGTCGTCTTCGTGCCAATTATTCAGCCAATAATGTGTAGGCCTATTTATTTCATAGAAAATTGTTTCTAGTACTATATAAATACAAAGGTTTAATTGGCATCTTTCTTTCGAACGACCCGACCAACCGCGACCCGAATATCATTAAAAATATTTTTGGATGACCCGTAAATGCGGGTAACAGCGGGTGACCGCAGGCACCCGCTCATTTTGGATCAACCCGCGCATCACTGAACAGAATGAACAGGAGCTACAACATAGACAGGAGAATCATTTATGCGTTTCACTACTTTTGTACACAGTTCAACTCCAACGGTCAGCTATCTTATCTTTGCCCCGCACTCCAACATTCTTGACGAGAACAGGGTCTCCTACTTCCAAGATGGTTTCTCTTACTTTCATGTCATATCTCTGTTTGTTTTTCTGAGCGATTCTTTCACGGTGTTTCACTGCAAGTTTGTAGCTCTTGTGCAGTGTGAATGGTTCTGGTCAGCCCCTCTAGGTGTAGTTCAAACGCCACATGGGAGGCTTGGCTGTCTCCCAAACATTAGCTGGTAAGGAGAAAAGCCTGTTGTGTCATTTCTGGTGCAATTGTATGCGTGCACCAAAGGCTGCATGTAGTCATGCCACCTGGCCATACTTTCTTCTTCTAGAGTCCCAAGCATCTTCTAGAGTCCTCCAACTGAATCGTGAAGACCTTCTAGAGCTGTTTCACAATATTTTGTGGGAAGAACCAGGTGGACAATGGTTCACTGCTGTTCATCCTTTTACAGTAAAGGACCGCATTGTTAATGACGAGTTGATCCTGCACTCGAAGCATGAGTTGGACTTCTTTGTCCTCTTTTAGTCTAACACAATAAACACAATAACCACTTTCCTGTGGTGAGTATGTCCATATTTCTGCTGATTACTGGATCAGCTCTCTGTTCTGCAGCCTATTGCAACTGTGACATTCTGGGAAGGGTGCTGGATCCTGGAAGCATATCGGCATTGTTGTCAGTGACAATGGTGAACTTAGCTCCATAGGGATAGTCAGACAATTTGTCAGTTATTGCCCACTTAAGGGCAAGAAATTCTAGCTTATGTGTGGGGTATCTCCTCTCACAGTTTGACAACCCCCTACTGGCGTAGGCAATAAGTTTAATCTGTCCATCCTGCTGTTGATACAGAGCCACCCCAAGGCCACGAAGACTAGTATCGGTATGGAGAACATATGGCAGTTGAGGATTGGCAAAGCCCAAAATTGGAGCAGTTGTTAACTTTCCAATGAGAGCCCTGAATGCTTGTTCACACTTAGCTGTCCACTTTTCAGCAAAGGGTGACTTAAGGTCAATGTTGGAAAATGACTTGGCTTTGCTTTCCACCTTGCTGGAATGTAGCCAGCAGTGAGATCATTAAGGGGCTTTACAATTTTTGAAAAGTCCTTGATGAATCTCCTGTAATATCCGGTAAATCCAAGAAAGGACTTAAGCTCTTTAATATTGTTTGGTCGGGGCCAAGTTGTGAGTCCAGAAATCTTTTCAGGGTCAGTTTCTAATCCACTGTCTGAGATAACATGTCCAAAGTATTTTACCAACTTCTTGGAAAAAAATGACACTTCTCAGGCAATAACTTGAGGCCCAGGCCCAAACTCCCTCAGTCCGTTCAAAACTCGTATAAGTTTCTCCTCCTGCTATTCAAATGGTTTCTGAGAACACAATAAGGTCATCATCAAAAAAAAAAAAAAAAAAAAAACTTATTTTGGTTCAAGGACCCCATGCATTTCTCCATGACTCTTTGAAATGTGCTTGGAGCGTTGGTTACTTACTGCAGCATCCTATTGAATTCCCAAAATCCCATGGGAGTGACGAAGGCTGTTCAGTTCTTTGTTCAGTTCTTCTTTTTCAGGTCGACTGCATTCTTGTTCATGGGGTTCTCACGCATTCTGGCTATGTGGGCGTCGTCCCTACATCTAAAACAGAACCAGGCCTTTGGCTGTGCTCTAGGTGCAACTTGGGGAGTCGCGTGAAATTGAGCCTCAGCTCGGAGTGGGGGTGGATGTAGACCAGACTCAAGAAACTCTCTCTTTTTCAGATTTCTTGGTTTTTCCGTGTTTCCTCAAGCTTTCAGGCTCAGATATGTATGCTTGTACAGACTGATCTCATGAAGTAGCGTGTGTATGACACGCCAATTCATATTTCCATTTTTGGCGTGCTATCAAGATGCATAATCGCTTTTCAGCGTGTTTATGAACGCTGTTGACTTAACGTTATTACTGTATATATAAATATATGACTTACCTCAACCCCGTCCCTAAACCTAACCGTCACTGGGGTTAATGGCATTTATGACTGTTCCCTTACCATCCTAGGGAAAAAAAAGATCACTCCCCAGATGCTTCGTTGACGGCGTGTACAGACATGCGGAATCACTCGGACGTTAATGGCGTAGACATACACGGATACACGCGGATAGCTCAAAATGCGTAGAGATAACACGCCACTTTGACTCGAAAGTGGCGTGTATGTTTACGCAAAAGTCATGATGTCACGTTGGCTTGTAACACACTGGCTTTGTGATCAGCAAGGCAGAAGTTGGCCACCGTTTGGACATTCACTGAGGATTTTCTTTTGGAGATCC